AAAAATTCCTTGCCAAATTTTGGTATAAAAAAAGCTCCGATGCGATCATAAGATCAAAACCTAAGCCTAGTATAATGTTTTGTTATTTTAAAAGTCGTTGTTTTGATCAAATCTGATTGGTGTCGATCAGGAAAATCTGTCGGTGCTACTGGGGTAGTTGGGTAGTACCTGTGAACATTAACTTTACCTCGGACAAGGATATATTAAGTGTCATATATTTCCCAATACTTGCATATCTGCAATACCAAACTGATCTTTATCAGGTTTGAGGCTTTGACTCATTCAATACATCCCGTCATTAATTTCTCGTTTCATCCTCTTCCTTTGTGAACTACAAATTAAGCGAGATTATACTCGACATAAGTTCAAAAATTTTCTCATGGTATTTCCTTTCAAATACTGAAATATAATATAATAAAGAAGCTTATGCTAATAAATATAAATAAATCTATATAAAAAATATACAAAAAAAATTAATTAATCTCATATATGTAAAGATCCTACGTAATACAGCTCGAATTGCTGAAGCTATGACGGTTAATTGGTATGTTCCTTCATTAATGTTTTGCAAATTCAGAATTGAACGCACATCTACATCCATTAGCATGTAATGTAAATTTCTGTGAAATATATATTGTCAGTGGAGTCGAACATAATAATCAATAAGAAATTTATATGAGGTTTTTGTACCATAAATCCTTTTTTAAGTTTCCTGATAGTTGTTACAGAATCATCACAAATGACCTGGCTTGCTAGAGACAAAACTTGGCATAAATTTAACCTCTTGTTACTTACCCGTTTACAAAACCATTAACGGAAACGAAATTGGGTTGCTAAAAATGATCTGGATGACCCGGTTAACCCATTGTTTTCATACTAGTTTATACTAGCTAGATGTCCATGTCTCCGATATTGAGCTAGTTAGTGTTAGCAACAGCAATATCAATTTTTTGTTAAGGTTTTTGTAAAATTTGATTGGCTTATAAATTAAGCTAGAAAATTGATTTATTTTCACAAATAACTGTATCGATATCGATATGATTTTATAATATAAATATATTTAAAAAATGAAATATATAGAGTTAAAGAATATTATAAAACGCACCTATGGTGTTTTAGCACCTATGTATAATTTCTTTTAATAAAATTTAGGGTTAGAGTTAGAAAATTAAGAATTTTTTTTTTTTTATATAATATATTATAGAGCTAATATAAGGTCCCAATCTTAGTTCTTATGAGGTTTTTGGGGTCCTGAACATTTTTACTTAGAGGGCCCGATCCCATTTACTTAGTACGTTTTTGAGAAATAAGACCTATGGTGCAAAAACACCATAGATGCGTTTTAGTAAATGTGTAGATACAGTAATGGTTCTAAATTTAAATGTGACTAATTGATATCTCACGATCTCACATTCACATTCAGTAATTAAGATCTATGAAATAAATTCTGATCTTGATTCATTGCAAATATTATTATGGCACGTTTGGAAATTTAAGTATAGTATTCATCCCAAATAAAGTGTGTCATTTTACTATTATCTTTTTGATGTTTCTTATTGCAAATCACATAAATAATGCCTGACTCATTTGGCTGTAAAAAAAAATGGGATGGATGATTTATTTGTGACTTGCAATGAGAAACGTCAAAAAAGATAATACAGTATTAAGTACCGTAAACTGAGACCCTCCAAGATATCAGACCCCTATGTACTAGACCCGGGTGTGAATCTCAAAGTCTACAATAACCAAATGCGGTTTTTTTTAAATATATAGGCTGCCCATTATGAATGAAAAATATGCATGCTTATTAAAATTTTCCTTCTAATGGTACAAACTCTCCACCATGTACTAGACCCGGGTCTTATATTAGGTTTTAATATTGGTGGGGTGTAAGAGACCCGGGTCTTTTATACGGCAGTTCACGGTAAGGGTAATAACAGATATTACGTAATATTCTGAGGGGGGAGGGGGTCTCTGATTTTCTTACGTAGAAATATAAATTTATAATAGCCAATCAAATCTCTCTTACGTGGGGGGAGGGGGGTAGAGGGTATAGTAAAAAAATATTAAGTGTATTGCAAGATTCATTTCAAATCAATAACCGTCAAAAGATTTTTGTCATTTGAAATATTTGAATAAATTTCCAGAGTAATATAATGTAAGGTTCTAGAGATGGACTATTACATATTGATGAAATTAGAATTAACTGTAGTTACTCAAGAATTAATATGAGATAAAGTTTGAGGAAAGTGTAAAAGACCGGTTATACAAATAGGAAAAAAGTATTAATGAGTAATTCAACCATCATTAACCCCAATTATCAGACCCGTACCCATACAAGAGACCTGAGTCTATTATACAGTAGGTTCTAAAATTAGTGAAGTGTACCCGACCCGGGTCTTGTATACGGCAGTTTACGGTTTATTCACTACACAAGACTCTAAATACCATCTTTTTTTTTTAATTCAATTCTAGATTTGTGATGTAAGATTAGATTATTCAACTAATATGTTGATCTTGCAAATTATTACCACAGTAGAAGTTGGTACAAATATGTTGTGCCATCATAGTGATAGCGAATTTGTGAATTAAGCCAAATTTACAAAATCTATGTATTTGTCCCCAACATAAATTTTAATTACCAAATTATTGCTAAATCCCCAAAACAAAATTTTTTGACTTTTGATCTATATCGTCAACATCTTCCTTATGGAAATTTATATATAATGATGCACTCTAAGCTGGGGATATTTATTAGCACAGTCAAAAAAGTATTATACGTATCATATGAATCTGAATTTTCAGATAATCTCGTCACAATGGCATTGTGAATTCAAAATATTGATGTAATTGAATCACCTACCTCGTGATTTATTGATCACACAATCTTCTACCATTCAATTTGCATTAAGGCGAATCTAATGATAAATAAATTTATTAGATTCTGATTTCTGTTCTCAAAATAGATTCATTTAAATAATTTGGGAGATCAAAGCTATTAATTAGATATGGTGTTACAGGGCTAAAACCTGCTTGAAAAATCATAATGTTACGTATCGGTATTGATGATCAGGGTGTGATCAGAATTTCAGCAATACCACAATTCTTTTGGGGGTAAAAACTCGCTACCGCTACCGCTATAGCGAAAACTTAACGGATTTTCACTCTGCACCCCTTAATAAGGTTAAAAATTTCACATACGTATACGTATTGTTTTATAAATAAAAAATAATAGGTCACATAATCTAAAAACTAGATTGCGTATTCGTATTCTGCGAATATTCGAATAAAATTTTTTGTAAAATTATTTGGCAAATAAAATTATTTATCGAATCGAATACATCTATTTTAACTTGAATCGAGTATTATCGTTATTCGAATAAAAATCAGTAAGCTCTACTAAAGACATTATTACTTCATATATTAGTTTGATTAAATCTATCGTTAAAATCTTATGCACATCAGTTTAATAAATCGGGACCCGGTTCGAACCGTTGATCGGTTTAGGACCGCCGAAAATTTTGCCTTTTTTGCTGAATGCATGCAACCTAAGTTTCTTGAAGAAAAACATCACATATCGGTATTATTGGTGTGAACTTTTCCCGACGACATACGAATATGTTTTACATTATATACCCTATATTTAGACTATGTCTACTCCACATTAGTTCTAACGTCGTATGGATTGATTCATATGATGCAATCGTTAATTGTTAAAGAAAAGTTTACTATTGTAGTTTCTGAATGTTTGATCATTGTATACGGGTAAGACTTGTCAAATGAAGGCAAAGACTAGTTTATTATGTAATCGATTTTATGCATTTACACAAGCAATTTTTTTCTAATTGTTATCATGTGTGGTTTTTTTTTTTTTTTTTTATATATATTGTATAACATGTAAAAATGCATAAATTGAGTACTTTATTAAATCTTATAGTTTCGATTTTATCCTTTTAGTAATGGCGAATTTAATAGCAGATACTCTGAGAGAAATTTTCGAATATCATAAAGATGATCCACAAACCCTTTATAACTTGATTACTGTCAATCGACTATGGTGTTGTCAAGCAATTCCTTTATTATGGCGTAGACCTTTCGAAATGACTACTCAAGATAGATACCATTTAATAATTAGAACCTACGTAATGTGCCTTTCAGATAAAGCATTATCTCGATTTATGTTTGTTGGAATCAAATTAGACGATTTTAAAAAACCTTTTTTCAATTACCCAACATATTTGCAGAATTTTGACTCTGAAAGATTTCGTTTAGCACTTAATATATGGATAAGAATGAATGTCATAATTGGTACCGGAATTAATAGGCGAAATCCATTAAATACATTCTGTAAGCCTTTGAAGAAAATTTTCGGTCCAATTATGAAAGACTGTTATAAAATTTCTCCTCCAAATCTATTTTACAAAGCGTTAAATAAATGCATTGAACCATTCATTCAGGATTACTATGCGACACACCCGAATTTTAGTGTAATTAAAGAGGTTACGGATTTGGTTTTTAGCCGATGTAACAGATTAAAGAACCTCAAGGTTTATTTTGGAGATGAGCATACATTATCTTCAGCAGAAATGAATTTTGCTTTACTTACCATCAAACACAACTCCTTGCTTAACCTTCAAAAATTCGAATTAGTTATACGCACGCCATCTTTAAGTATTGATAATTTGCAAAATATGAATAATGCCTTAACGAATCTCTTTACCATGATGTCTAAGTATGCCACAAAAATTCAGGAAATGAAAATTCAATCTTATGCAACCAATTTGCCAATAAAGGTTCATGCCAGTCTTTATCGATTAATTGAATCGCAGAGAACACTTCAATCATTTATGTCAAACTATTTTTGGGATGCTTCAAATCCTTCGATTTTTACCGCTTTGTTAAATCAGTCACATTCTTTAACTCGACTTTGTCTATGGGGTTTAACACATTTCGATAACTCTTTGGTACTCGGATTATTAGAATGGAACGCCCTGGAAGTATTGGAATTGATGGGATGTCCAGATTTTCCTGTATTTGCAGATTTTACAAAGGGTCAACTAAGTATCAGAAACCTTTATATCGGCAATGGATACTGTTCATATCCTTTTATAACAACAAACTTAATCAGGATGATAAATTTAAACCTTCAAAAATTGGTGGTAGAAGGTGCAACTCCAGAGATTATAGATGCGGTCACAATGAATTGTCCACAGCTTACACATTTATCGCTCTGTGCTTATCAGGAGATATTAGAATCTCTTCCAAGATTACTTTCAACTCTTTCACTGTTGGAAACATTGATTTTAGGAAATCGAGAACAATTTATATTTACAGATGATACTATATTACGATTTTCACAATCAATTCCATCTTCATTGTGCGCACTATTTCTGAACTTTAATCTCTCATCTCAATCATTGAGAGTACTTTTAACAGAATGTTCAGCACCACTTCATAAGTTAGAATTACATCAAATACAAAATAAGGAATCAGAATTGTTTTCTATTCTGATTCAATATACAAAAAATAATAATTATTTAAAAGAGTTAAAGTTATACTTATCTCCTTCTACTAGTTATACAAATCCTGTTAATCTAGATGTTTTGGAAAATGCAAAGAGATATTTTACTATTGTTAAACAAGATACTACCAAACATTCTTATAATCTTTGGTGATATTCGATCTTATTGAATGATATAATTTTTTCCTTTTTTTTTGTTATATAACTTAAATGAAAGATACTGTACAATTTTCCGAAAGTCATTTTCTCGGCAGAACATAATACCTACTAAATCGGCCGGCATTATGGCTAATGCCAGCTAACTTTGTCGGTATTATGCCCTTTCAGGAAAATGGCTTTCGGAAACTTGAGTTACAGGAACCCTTTTTTTTTTGTTGAACTGTACATATATTAATTTTTTTTCAAAAAACCATACCGATACTGTACAAAGCACGTTGATTCTTGACATGTAAAATTTTATGATCGATATAAATTAAGTTACACAAACACATGTATATTTTTTTTTATATAAATAACGTTAATTTAACTCAGTTTTTTAACTCGAAAAAACTTTTTTTAATTTTAAAATGGTTGTTGAATCAATTTCAATACCACCGATTCGTAGAAATTCATCAAATACTCCAACTCCAACGCCTTTGGCGCTTACAGAAGATAATCCAATTTCACTCAAAGTTTCAAAAATTTTAATTTGTCCTATTGATGATGTTAAAACTAAATCTGCATTAGAAGCACTTTCAGAATTTTATACCTCAAATTCTGTAACTGAACGTAGAAATTTGAGAGGGAATATTGAACAGAAAGCTATCGAAACTAACAGAAATTTTCTGGAGACTTTTGGTAAAGTTACGGAGGTATTAACAATAATTGCTTGCTAATACTTTTTATTTTATATATTCATTTTCTGATGGTTATAATTGTTTTTTCCAGCAATTGGCAGTTATAGAATCAGAAATTAAGAACATGAATAATTTTTGCGATGAAATTAGTAAAAGCCTAGATTCTGCAAAGCGTCAAACTGCGTTATTATTGGAACAAAGCGATAGTTTAAAGTCACAACGGTATTGATTGTAGATGAAAAAAATAATATTATATAAATAGTTATACCATTTTTTATAAACAATCTTCATTCATTTGTAGAGAAAGCTGTAAGACTCGCAAGATTTTAATAGATGCATTTTTAGGAAAATTTACACTCTCTGAAAAAGAGGTTGCAACCTTATTCTCTCCTGATTCAGGAATAGGTCCAGGATTTTTTGAAGTATTGAAACATCTGCAACAAATTCACAGTGATTGTGATGCATTGTTGATTACAGAAAATCAAAGAGCAGGGTAATTTTTCAAATTATTTAACATTTCTCATTATATTATTATTATCTAACATTTTTATATAGACTAGAAATTATGGAAAGAATGAATTCTTATCAAGAAACAGCTTTTGATAAATTATACCGATGGACTCAAACAGAGTCTCGTTCGTTGGGCCGAGATACACAAGAAGTTCCTATAACTTTAAAACTTGCATTGAAAACTTTAAAACAGCGACCTGTGTTATTTCAGTGGGTTTTATATTTTTAGTTAAATTTATATCGTAAGTTTTAAACTAATGAATGGCTTTTGACTTTTAAGATCATGTCTTGAAGAACTCGTTTACATTCGAAGAAATTCAATAATACGCGCATTCACGGATGCTTTAACTCGAGGTGGTCCTGGGGGCACTCCTCGTCCAATCGAATTACATGCACATGATCCTTTACGTTATGTAGGTGATATGCTTGCTTGGATTCATCAGACGGTTGCTAATGAAAGAGAATTTTTGGAAAGTTTATTCGAAGTTAAAAGTAAATTCTTGTAAAAATTTTAGTATCTTAATTTTTTGGTGACGATAACAGTCGTATCTTAAAACATAATTTAAATACATAAGATGAAAGTGAGCATTCGAATGTTGAAAATTTGGATAAAGAAAGTGATGATATCGTTATTCAGGATCTATTAGATCGTGATCTTGATGGGACGTGTCGTCCATTAAAGGTACAGATAAATTCATTACCAGTTTTCACTTCCTAAACAAATATATTATATTACATATTTATCATTTTATAGACACGTGTTGAACAAGTTTTGGGCTCACAACCTGGAGCTATAACAGGATATAGGATTTTGAATTTAATTCAATTTTATAAAATTACAATTGCAAGGATTTTAGGCCCTAATGCTGCCTTATCTATTATACTTAAAGAGTAGGTAATTGCTATATAGTTTCAATCTACTGTTAAATATGAGAAATTACATTCATTATTCTTTGAGATTGATCTTTTATACGAATTTTGCAGCATCACGGATTCAGCGTCCAGAGTGTTTTTTAATACACTTAATATGCAAGCCGAACAACTATTACGATATAGACAAGTACTGAAAATATTAATATAACAACATTTTCAAAACATTATATAGGTTTTGATTTTAACAACATTTTATTATAGACCCCAGGTGTGGACTTAATGCCACCGCCTGCAGTGAAAGAAACAGTGTTGCAGTTGGTAATATACAGTCGTATGATAATTAAATTAGCTTTTACACTTTAACTTATAATATTTAAATAAAATCTGTAGAAAGAAATAATGGCATCATATGAAACATCTTTGGTCACTGCTACAGAACGTGAAGATGATTTCCGCACAATTTTAGATACTATATTAGATCCTTTGTTTCAAATGTGTGAATTGGGTGCAAATGATTTACCAAAATTTGATAAGGCAATTTATATGATAAATTGTCTTCATTATGTGCAGGTAAATTAATGTACTTTCCAATTATGTAATTCTTTACAATTGTAAACGAATAGAGATGATTTAGGATATTGTTTACATTCACTAGTCATCTTTAACTCCATACTCATTTACACATGGTAGAGTTATGTCACTAGAGAGGCAAATTGAGGAAAACATGGAAATATTAGTAGATGGACAGGTGTGTAAAAATGTTATTCTGTTGATTGAATATAAACTAATTTATGTATTTAATTTTTAGTACGCAAATCTTTTAAACCAATCTGGACTAGGACCAATTGTCCAGATTATGGAAACAAAAGATGAAGATGTTTGTAAAATTTTCAATAATCTTTCAAGCTTACACAGATTGAATCAATGAAAATCGGGTACATACCAGAAGACAAGTCTCCTAGTCTCCTAATATGTACCCGATAGTCTGCCATAGATCCGCCAAATACCTGCTGTATATCAGCAGCATATTGGCAACATATTGGTAAGATATTAGGGTCATGCAACGATTAATATCATAAAATCTGTTTTGTCGGAGCAAATGATATCTATCATTGCATGATCCAATATCGATGTTATCGTGCAATTATGATCGTTCTTTAAAAGTCATTATTGGCTAACTGAGTTTTAATTCGAGATTGTTGTGCTTATGTAATTACGTACAAAAAATAACAAGAAGAAAAAAATCTATGATCATAAGTTTGCACGATAACATAACATCACAATTATTGGGATACCCTGATATCTTACTCGTCTAAAAGTAAGTTATCGGGATATCCCAATATTTTGCTGTTATCCGGCAAACTCTTATGATCATGAAAAAATTTCTTTTTGTTATTTTTTTCGTGTGTTACTATGTAATTATGTTTTTCCAATATACCAAAAAAGGTATAGCCACGAAGCGATGAGAGAAGCAAAGCTTCATTA